CAGAAATTGATTCCTTTAAAGCTTCCTGCGCTTGGGTACCTCTTGAAAAGTCTTTGTGTATCCCCAGGGGTATGTGTGCCCTAGTTTGAAGACCATTGCCTTAGACTATCTTTCTTGAGTATTGCAAACCAACTTAATGGCAGACAATTCTATAGTGAGGCAAGTGAGGGAACCTTTACGAATAAGTATTCTGTGTTGTTGGTTGAAAGACTGGCTCTTGATATTATGTGTGTAGTTAGCAAATAAAACGCTTATGGTGAGTTGAAAGAACCTGCTATATTAATTGTGGGCCCCCTTACAGCTGCAGGTAGGTTTGTTGTAGGAATTCCCCTGGGTGGAGCAAGGACTTTGCTCATGAAACCACTGTCGTCGGGGCAAGTGCATGGACAGGTACTTGGTTGAAATACTTGGTATTTGGCAGAAATAATTGATTCAAAGACCAGAAACTGTGATAACTGGAGGTCCTATAGTCTACTTCTCAACCTTAGGCAGTAACAGGCGCCACAGAATGCCATGATTTTGCACTATGATTATAATATCCACATTTCTAATTTTTAAACATGTATCCAGTAATAATTTAAAGATTCTTTTATGCAAGCTTACTCTGTTGGTGTTATTTTAGTGAATTGAAACTACCCAGTTATAAAGCCCCTTTTTCTCCATTTTAATTTAAAAGTTTAGTCACTTGAAAACAAGTCAATAAATTAAAATTTATTCAGAGAGATTTTTTTCCCTAAAAATTTTTATATGGATACGAGTCACCAAACACCCACTTCTGCCTCACAGGAGGGGAATTAAAAAAAACAACAACAGTAAATTAATACTACTTCTACTATAGTGGACATAGATATTACTTCATAAACATGAGTTTATGCTCTATCATATTTTAATTGAAATTAAATATTCCTCTGAGTCCATTTTTGTCTGACTAGTGGGAGATTCAGTCTCAGGCCTTTTTGGGCTCTCTTCGCCTCCCCAGAGTCAAACAAGATTCCAAAATGTTTACAGAAACAGGAAAGGAGCTTCCAGTCTTCAGCCTAGTGCTGTTTTTGTGCTACCTTCATCAGCTGAGTCCATAGAATTACTAGAAGGGAGCAGATCCACTGCGCCTATGGAAGGTAAGGCACCTGCAGTCTGTGCCCAGATGGAACCCAAGTGCTTAGGGTACCATGTCCCCATCCCTCTTAAGACTCTGCCGCTGGCCCCTTCTGCTTGTGGGATCCTCAGACCTTTGGCCTCTTCCTCGTTTGGAGGAATCTTCTTTCTCTTTGTCTTCTTCCTTACAGAATTCTCCCAAGGAGCTCTGGCTTGGAGAAAACAGCAGTCAGGAAGGCAGGCTGTCTACCAGCAACTTGAACTTCACAGCTTCTGTGGGGGAGTTTGTACCAAGAGGCTGGGCAGCTGCTTGGAGTGGGAGCAGGGAAAAGACAGAGCCCAAAACACGAATGAATATCGCCACAAATGGCCCTGTATTTCTACTACTATTAATAAATGGCAAACGTTACTAAGCATTACTCTCTGCTCGTACAGATGATCACATTTAATTCTCAAAACTTCTCCACATTTTAAAGACAGACAACCGAGGCTTAGAGAGTTTGAGTAACTTTCCCAGTAATAAGTAGCAGAGCTGAGATTAGAACCCAAATCTGTTGGGCTCCAAAATTCAACCCCTATGTTATATTTTCTCTCTTGCAGGATACTGGTAATATTTTATTTTGGGCACAGTGAGCTGCCAGGATGGGTTAGCTGCAGCACGAGCTCCCAGATAGCTCAGTGAATTCATCCATGGAACACCATTGCTCAGAGTTCTCCATCTGCTTGTCAGAGTGCATTTGCCAAGACTCAAGAACAACAGTGCTGCTTTGGGCGTGATTAATGTTTAGACAATAAGTGGTCAGCGTGTTCAGCTGCTTCTTGAGGTCACTCCTGGGATGTGAAAATAGGACCCTGTATTGGCATAAACAGGATGTTTGTTTTCTTTGTGCTCTGTTGGGAGGCCATTATCTCGGTCATCTAAAAGTTATATCAAATTGCTCATGTGCAGGTTCAAAAGGGGGCAAAATATGGCCCGGCTTAGTTTTGTGTGGTTTAAAATAGAAAATTGATGGATTCAAAATCCGTTTCTGCTTAATATGGTTCTTGAGGTAGTATTTTAATAAAGTCCTAAAAGAACACTTAAAGTCTTAGATCAATTTTTAAATTGTATAGCTTGGACCATAAATAATTCCTAATTATGGAGTCAAAAGCCAACACAGTCAGTGAATCAATACATAACATAGTCACTATGGCCCAACTACCTGCCATCTTCCATCCCCCACAGCTGGGCATGATGGGTGATTCAAAAACAGGCTGGGCTCTTTACTCAAGATGTTCATAATATGCTTCAGGGGCTTTCAGATGTTGTGTGCATCAGAATCATTCCTGAAGCTTGTCAAAAATAGAGCTGCTGGGGCCCCACTCTAGATCCACTGTCTTAGTCTGTTCGGGCAGCTATAACAAGATACCACAGACTGGGTAGCTTAAAAACAATAGAAGTTTATTTCTCACAGTTCCGGAGGCTGGTAAATCCAAGTTCAAGGTGCTAACATAGTCTCCTTCTGGTGAGGGCCCTCTTCCCGATTCATAGCTGGCACCTTCTCATTGTTTTCTCACATGGTGGAAGGTGTTAGGGATCTTTCTGGAGCCTCTTTTATAAGGTACTCACCCCATTCATGAGGGTTCTACCCTCATGACCTAAGCACCTCCCAAAGCCCCACCTCCTAATATCATTACCTTTGGGAATTAAGATTTCAACATATGAATTTTAGGGGGACGCATTCAGACCATAGCACCCACTGAATCGAAATCTTGGGGAGTGGGGCCCGGGCATCTTTATATTTAATAAGCTCCTTAGGTGATTGTGATACTCATCAAGGTTTTCGAGCCAGCTACGTGGTTGATGGTGTTTTGGCAATGTAAACCCTACAATGTTTTCTATATTGTATTGTATTCTGTATATGTCTATACAACATCTCAAGAAATATGTATAGGAGATATATAGGCATACACATGTGTATCTAGAGACACACTAGTCTCTTATTTGGATGTATACTGTTGAAAAGTGCCTACAGATAATATACATCTATTATTTTAAATCATAGTAAACATTTATTGAGCATCTATATGTATCAGGCACTGCTAATTCATTCAACAAGTGTTTGTTAAGAGCCCACTATGGGCCATCAGAAAATGAAACAGACAAAGGTCCCTGTCCTGAGGGAGCTTATATTTTAGGAGAGGAACACCAACAATAAACAAAATTAAATATGACAAGTATATGGCGATGAGTGCCATGGCAAGAAGTAAAGTGGGGAGGGGAAGGGGACCGCCAGTGGTGGGGACGGGACTGCAGTTTAAATAGGGTGGTTGGGGAAGACTTGAGGGAGGACAGGGAGTGAGCTCTGTGGATATTTGGAACACAACTGTTTCAGGTTTGGGGAACAGGAAGTGCAAAGCCCAGACCCGAGGACGAGCATTCCTGGTGGCTTCAGGAAATGGCAAGGAGGCCAGGGGCTGGGACGCAATAGGAGGTGCAGTCAGAGAAGCAAGGAATGGGCGGAGGTGTGGATCTTGTAGGAGCCTGGAGGCCGCTGGAGGAGTTTGGCTTTTACTATGAGGGAGATGGGAAGGGTTCCAAGCCTGGGAATGACACCATCAGACAGATTTTAACGAGATCATTCTGGCCAATGAGAACAGGCTGCAGGGGTGGGCAAGGCTGGAACCAGGAGGCGAGTTAGGAGGCTGCTGCAGTAATCCGTGGGAGAGATGCTGAATGGCCCGGGAGAGGAGTGGTGAAGGTGGCGAGAAGAGCACGGCTTGCGGGTGCACTGTGAAGGCAGAGCCAGCAGTTTTGCTGATGGTTTGGATGCCGAGTGTGTGAGGACTGTAATAGGAGGTTTTCCAAGGACGCTGGGTGTGGCCCTTGGCTGCATTTACTCTGTGGCCAGATTTGGTTCTGGATGTGGGTCATGATTTGGTTCCAAGAAAATGATCATATTTTTGTTTTAAAACATACCTTGTATACTTAAAATTTGTAAATTTATTGTGTGTACATAATACCTCAAAGAAAAAAAAAAAAACTCATCTTAAGGAGCAGTCGGGGTAGTCTGACCAGCTGTAGCAAGACACTCACTGGGATATTGGTCACTGTATCCACAGGGACTGTACCACAATTTCTTCCTGACACGTAGGAAAGCTCAAGAAAGCTACGTTTGCCAACAAAAAATATATTCTGGATAGGATAATGAATAATATTTATTGTTCAGTTTATTTCAAAGCCCTATATGTAAATCCTCAAAAAGTCCTTTCCAAGGCTGATAATGGAGATATCACTATCCCCATTCAGGATACTGAGGATTCAGGAACCTGAGATCTAGAAAGGATAAGAGATGTGGGAAGGATGAACTCTGCTAGATCAGATCTTCTATTTTACTTTCTTGATTGTGTGGCCTGATATGTGGTGACTGGACCTCAATCCAGGGAACATAAGTGTGTGTGTGTGCAAACGTGCGTGCATGCATGTATACTTAGTAAAGTACAATGATCTAGTAAAGGAATTGGAACTGATTGTTCAAACCTTCAGGCTTCTAGGTTCCTCTCCTTCTCTCTCTTCTCTGTCTGTTCATTTGGTCCTTTTATTTCTGAATAGTAATTTTCACTGAGGGGTGTGATAGGGAAATAAAAAGATATGAAAGTCATATTAGGTAGCGTGGAGAATAATTTTAATAAAAGCCACAGTGAAGAATGCAGTTGTAATTAGCACTAAAATGAAATTCTGAATTGCCGGTGGATTTCAGCTTGCCTCATTTTCCTGATCCTTTGTTCCTGTAAAAAACTAAGTTTGACTATGCCACACAGCTAGTGAGGCTGAGCTCCTTTTGTCTTGCTGAGGAAGCCATGTCTGTACGGGGATGGCGGTGAGCAGGGTCTCGGCCAGCTATTTACTGCCTTGCCTGTTTCAGTTTGCAGTGATGATCTCACCCACAAATTCAAAGGTTTCACTGTGATGAACGAAGCAGAGAGATATGAAGCGCTCAGACACTGTCGTTATGTGGATGAAGTCATCAGAGATGCTCCGTGGACACTCACACCAGAGTTTCTGGAAAAACACAAGGTACTTATTCTTCCACATTCTCTAAGTAGCAGAATTAGGGAGTCTGGTTCTGCAGCCTACACCCAGAAAGCCCAAAGAGTCTTCCAATTTCTAAAAGAGGTGACTTCAGGAACCTTCACCTGTTGTCATTTGATGTAGCACCTCTCTTCTGCCCAAGCCTGGGAACCGATATCTTCTCACTTCCTCACTGTGGGCTCTAGAGCTAGACCACCCAGGTCCAAGTACGGCCTCTGTCCCTTCCTAACTGTGGGACTTTGAGCAAGATATTGAATTCACTGACCTGAACTGTGAAATGGGGTGATGTTGGTACTTTCCTCATGGGGCTCTTTTTGAGGATCTAATGAGAACATCTAAGTAGAACCCTTGGAGCACTGGCTGGCCAATAGCAAGAGTTCCAAAAATGTCATCATCATCATCACCATCCTCATTATTGGTGCTGATAGATTCACAGGCATCATTTTTCATGGAACAAATGAACACACATATTATCCAGAAGGGCAGGGGTCAGCCTTTAAGGAAAGAACTTTATGATTTTGTGATCCTGAGACTCCTACTGATATAAGATTTTTATTAGTTGAAAACACGAGAAATTCTTTTGATCTGCATCAAATTATGTGCTTTGTATCTCCCTACCAGTCCCACATTAGGAGCTATTCTTTCCTTTTAGAAGCAGTACAAAAAAATAAGATTAAGCTCTTCTAAGAGTTTTCTTTTCTATTTTTAAATTCACGATGCAGAAAAGAATAGAGAACACTGATAAATGTGCATGGGTAATAGCAGAGGAGACAATTTCCCAGCGAGAATAAAAAGAAAAAGGAAAAACTACAATATGATTTACTTCCAGCAATCACTAACATTTTTACTAAGCATCTATTGTATATTCCACTTGTGCTGGGCATTATGGGGATGCTAATGATGGCTGCCATTTATTGGGTAATTACCATGTGCCCAGCACTGTGCTAAGTGCCTTGCTCTTGTATGAATCGCATTCAATCTCGTGTCTACCCTGAGAAATCGTTGTTGTTGTTATTATGCATTGGAGAGAAGGAGGAACTAAGTTTGAGTCCTAAGAATAGAGTTAATAGTATGTAATAATAATTAACATTTACTGAGTACTTACTATGTACCAGTTATTATTTTTAAGCATTTTTACATAATTATATCATTTAATCCAGTGATTCTCAAGCAGGGGTGCGTTTACCCCCAAGGGACATTTGGCAATGTCTGGAAACATTTTTGGCTGTCACAACTAGAGGGGTGTTACTGGCATCTAGTGGGTAAAGGCCAGGGGTGCTAAGCCTCCTACAATGCACAGGACAGATTCCCCCTCCTGCCTACCAAAGAATTGTCCAGCTCAAAATGTCACTACTACTGAGGTTGAGAAATCTTGATTTAATCCTTACCACCAATTTATAAGTTATGTAGCTAGTAAGTGGTGGGGCAGGAATCATACCCAGGAAAATTAAACTGCTACTCTAAACTAACTCTTGAGGTGGAGTGAAGCCTTGTTATAAAGGGCTTTGAAAGCTAGGCAAGGAGTTTTTACTTGATGTTAGTAAGAAACAGGGAACTAGTGAAGATTAGCAGGCACAAGGATGATAAGAAGAAAACTCTGTTTAAGGAGGACCCCCCACCCCACATGTGACAGAGGGATGTCTTGGAGGGGAGAGATCCTGTAGTGAGGAAGGTCAGGTACAAGTTGGTATTAATAATCCAGGTGACAGGGCCCTGGATTTGGTGTAGCAGCAATGGAGAGGAAGTGATGGGTGCATACACACATAGCCCCCCACACCCCCCCCATGGAACTTGTGACCCATTATGTGCCATGGAGAGTGAAGGAAGTAGGAAAGGCCAATTCCAAGGTGTTTGGGGCCTAGGTAACCTGGGAAAATGGAGGTGCCATTGGAAGGGGGTACTGGTTTTCAGGATGAGTTAAATTCCAGACAGGTTGATTTTAAAGTGACAGTAGGGGGCGGTGAAAGAGAAAAGGGTGACTTGGGGCAAATCTGACAAGTTTTCTCGTTTCGGGAACCTCATGTTGCAACTGAAATAGTAATATGTGCCCTACCTGCCTCATGAGGTGGTTATGAGAATCAAATGAGAAAAGAGACATGAATTCATTTCCACGATATAAAATATGATTTGAGTGTGAGGGCCTATTGCCATCAATGGGACAGGAAATGGAGATTTGGGTTCCTCATCATAGCAGGGGTGATTAAAATCTGAAGGATGAATGAATTCTCTGAAAGAGAAACTTTAGAGGCAGAACAGAAGGCCAAGAAAACCTACTGTCAGAGGTAGGAGAAGAAAGAGGGCCTAGTGAAGGAGAGAAACCAATCTAGTTCCCATTATCTCATGGAAATGGAGACAGTTGGAAATACCTTTCAGTCAACGATTCAAATCCACATTATAAACTGCTGATTTCAACTGCTTTATTACAACTGCTTTATTCCAAAAAGGCATTTTCAAATTGCAAACGTGTGCATCCATCCCAGTGGTGACGTCACTCTTCTGTCTCTCCAACAGATTGACTTTGTGGCCCATGATGACATCCCCTACTCTTCTGCTGGCTCTGATGATGTTTACAAGCATATAAAGGAAGCAGGTGAGGAGTTCTCCTGTGCTCACCTGTCCACTGCAGCATGCCCATCAGGTTTACTAAGAGACATCTACCCTAGGCTTGTAGCGTTGGAATTTCAGAGGTCTCCCAAGTAGCCTCGACGAGCCTCTGATTGACGTGTGCTAAGGCTCAGTTGTGGCACAGACACCATTTAGGTATTTATATAGGAATTAACCTGAGCACCAAAGTATTCAACTTCTGGTCTGAGGCTCGATTTTAGGACTCATCAGACTGAAATCACAGGAGCCTATTGTTTAAAGGGCACTCATTTTCCTCATTTACAATTAAGTCTTCACAATGAAATTATTTTATACTTCCGAGAAAGTTCCTTGCAGAAGAAGACAGCTGGCTAATTAACGATCTCAACTCCTTGTCTCCCAAGTCAGTCCTGCCATATATCATCCTGTTACATAATAGTAATAACCTCAGGTACCATATGCAGAAGCAAAAAAAAAAGGATAAATATTTGTGGAATCAGGTAAAGTATTTCTTCCCCAAACTGTTAAGTGATGTTATGGAGGGCAGACATGGTGCCTGAGCTTTGGAAGGTGTCCCATTTGTCACTAAGCATTTCTGTTAAGGTCAGAGACTCTGGTCAGCCCCAGGGAGTTATTGAGGGGCTGGAAAAAGGCAGATTTCTTTCCATTGCAGGCTCCCCGGAATTAATTGCTTCATCAAGTTCTCTGTTCCTATTCCTGTGCTGCTGACGATGCCAGGGAAATCGTGTTGGGGCGTCATAACGGATCTGTGGTTTCTAGCCTCAGTGGGATTCTTGGTGTTCTTTGGTAACATTTACCTTCTCTTCTTCCCCTTCTGGCCCTAACTTACCCATAACTCCTTGCATCGTTGCCTCCTCTCCTGCATCCTGAGGAAGAGGGGCACGTTTTCTGTCCCAGGCTAACTGCTTTATCTGAACCTACTTTCTCCCTTCCCCAGAGCCTGTTTTCTTTCCTTCTTCTTCCTCTCTTTGCTATCCAAGGTTCTCACTCGCCAGTAGTTTCTTCTCAGCTTACAAACATGTGGAAGTCTACAAAAACAAAACAAACCCAGATCCTTCCTTCTGCCCTCCCTCCTGCCTTCTTCTCCAGTCACATCCTTGCTCGGTCCTCTCCTTCCCAGCAACTTGCAGGCACACCTCCCTGTCATTCCTCAGCCACCTACACTCAGGCTTCTGTCCCATCCTTCCTCAGTTCTGTGATGACCTTTGAACCACCAAATCCAGCAGCCTCATTTCAGTCCTCCTCTGGACATAACAACCCTGCTGACCATGCTCCATTCTTACACGCTCTTGTCCTCCACTTCTGGGACCTTCTAATTTCCCTTCCGTCTCTCTGACCACTCCTGGGTTTTGTTTCTGGGTTTCTCTCCCTTGGCCTTGCCCGGCCTCTCTATCTTGCCAGCCTGGGCTCTGTGCACTCCCTTCCACAGGCCCTACACTCCAGGCATACAAAGTCCATCCTGGTTCCCAGGCACGCCGCTGCTTAGTGCCTTTGCTCCAGCTGTTCTCGGGGCTTGGATCACCCTTCCTCTGAGCTTCTGTGTCTATTCCAGGTCCTGCTGAGGAGCCAGCTGGATATGCCTTCTCTCACTGGGGCATAATTCAGCACCCCCTTCCCTGCCCTCCTTGGACACTCTTTGCACGTGGACCCCCTTTCCAGCTGCCTTCTCATAGCATCCTGATTGTTTCTGTGTGTGTGTGTATCCCTAGCTAGAATGAAGTGCCATAGGCCATGGCCGTATCTCATCCATCTTGGCATCCCCAGCACAGTCCCTGGTACATTTGTAATGCTCATTAAATGCTGGCTGAACAAGAGTGTGCTTTCATGGAGGATGATGGGGAGTTAGCTTAAGATGGAAACCTTCTGTCTGCAAGGGCTCTTCCCAACACACGAGGAACAGAGCCATTTACCTAGATAATCTGGGCACACACTGTGTCTTGTGGAATTTTTCAAATTATTTAGATGTAAGGGGTGATATTTTGGTCTGAATTATATGGACCTTTGTATCCAATTTGTTTGCTTTCCGTTGGTATCTTGGCTCTGAGTCCCTTACAAACCCCTTTATGGAAGGAGATGCTGACCACATGTGCTAAATTACTCTAAACCATCACAGCCTCACAGCCCGACAAAATCTCAGTGAAAGATGTAAGGGTTTGCCATTGGACTTGCTTCAAAAATGACTATGATCTGAATGAAAGATCCTTAAAGTTATATCTATGAATTTGCATTTTTCCTGCTCTATCTTATAATAGCCAAGAGAATATAAATCACAAATTATAGGTGCTCTTTTGGGCAAATGTGTAATGGAAAAATAGTCTCTGCTCTATACTCACCACCCAACACTTGTCATTTTCCTGAGCTGAGGTTTTTCAGTGAACATCGCGGGGTTTCAAATAATCACCTAAGAATTAAAATAGTCAGTGCTGAGGTTTTAAAAATACCCAGACTCCCTGGATTATATCCATTTGAATTACTTAAAAAGACAGATGGTGCAAAGGTAATTACTTCTATCCTCTCATAGGGTCACATGGTTTTTCTTACTCTAAAAATGGAGATGTCCAAGATGGAGGGGGCAGTGTAGTAACCTGAATTACTTAGTTTCTCCATCCACCTTCCTTCATCAGACCACCTTCCCTAAACTTCCCATAAGCCTATTGCTGCCTGAGAATCTTGGAACAAGGAAGAGTTTGAGCAAGAGATGGGCTGGAATTGGTATTTTAGTTGAAGGTAGGTGCAGAGGTAGGTTTTTAATGGCTTGGTTTATTTTCTGGTATCTTACTTTCTACCATACATCTCATCTATAGGCACTGTAGGTACATCCATGCATACCTTCCTACATACACTAAACCATTATCTGGCATGGTACAGATACTCTAGTGAGTTACCATATGCTTTACTTAGGGATTTCAAGAAGTCTAAGGCACCCCACATTATACTCGAGCTGTTCCTGTGGCTGACATCTGCCACAGGCTCTGACATCAGAGCCATCTTCCCCCATTCCTGGGGGCCACTGGAACTCCTATATTGGTCCTGCTATGCCTGACCCTCAGCCTACTGCTGCTACAGCCTTTCCGTGGTACTCATGGACCTTCAGACTTCTGAGACAGAACAAGCTCCTAAGGGTCACTAACCCAGTCTCCTGTCTCCTCTTTGGCATCACTGCCAGCTCCTGTTTTACATCTTGTACATATCCCATGATGGGGAGCTCCCTGTCTCCCAAGGCAGCTTATTCCATCTTTGGATGGTTTTGACTCTTATTGGTTAACCCATGAATCCCCTGAGTGCATCCACAGCCAGGAATTGTTGGAGGGAAAATGGGATGCAAATATGAATAAGACATAGCCCTCACCCTTGAGAGAGAGCAGAGACAGACATAAATAATTACACCAAAATATTATAAGTCTGTGATGGGGTATACACAGCAGGCTGGGGAGGTGTGTCCAGCAGTGGGAGTATATGAAGAAGTGCAGCATATTTGGAGAAAATCAATAATGTTCATATAGTATAGGATGTGTAGAGGTGAGAGCAGAGATGGAGACTGGCGGGATGGGGTGGTTTAGACTTAAATTCCGCATGTCACATGGAGCCAGACGCCACTCTGAGGCAGGGGAGTGCCATGAGCAGCTCTCTGGTGGGTTAGGGCCAACCGGGTAGAGGGGCAAGAGTAATTTCTGTAATGAAACTTACTTAGGAGCCCCCATTTCCACAGATGACAGGAAAAAACACGCTTGACATTTGAAGAAATTAGACTCTTCTAGGTTTGCACTTAGACCGTGTGGAGTCAGCTTTTGGCCTCTTTCTCTTGGGGTGATCTAAGTTCCTGGGGGTGATTTAAGTGTTGGCCTGGCGTGGGGTGGGGGTCTGGTTCTTGCTGACCTTTCGTTGTGGGGTATCAAGACCTGCTCAGACATCATCCCTGGCTACTAGACCCCCATCACAGCCCTCTGACACCTCCCCCTTTGGCCTGTCCTTGCCACAGCCTCTGCTGCAGGACTCCCTTCCCTGTATTGCAGGTGTGCCACCAGCAGTCATGCTGATCTTAAATCTCAGCTACTTTCAGTGTTCCTCCAGAGGGTCCCCGGGAACTTTAAAAGTGTCCTCCATAATCTACTGGAGGGTAGCGGGAGGGAGCCATGTCAGGCCCTATCTGACCTGCCTGCCATAAGGAACGCTCTATGGAGGCCTCCCCATGTTGGCAGGGGGCCTCTGTGAGACCATTTCCTCCCAAAGTTCCTGGAGATAAACAGGGTGCCAGCCCTTCTGCTCTGGGCTTTCTAAGAGGTTCTCTTCCTCCCCTTGTCCCTGGGGTTTGAAGCTGAGTGGGGGCAAGAGACGGGCCCTGCTCACATTCTCTCGCTTCTGTTGCTCACCTCCTGATCCCTCTCTAGGCTCTTTCTCTCAACCCCAGGAGGGACTTTTCTTCTTCCTGGTTGGCAGGAAACTGTCCCTTTGTTAATTTCATGTCTTTCCCACTCCAAGGCTTATGGTAAAACATCCTGTACCCTGAGTCCACTCAGCCTCTGATTCTTAATAATTAAAGGGACACTTCTGGGATTTAGAAAACCCTTTTTGTATTCCTCAAAGCCTGGCTCTTTCAAATGAAAGCCTTACCTTTCATAACTATTCTTTTTGAAATGAGCCTTCAAAAGAGCCTGTTTTAGAAGTCAAAAGCTGAACACTGGGGCTGGCCCCGTGGCGTAGTGATTAAGCTTGGCATGCTCTGCTTTGGTGGGTTTGGATCCCGGGCATGGGCCTATACCACTTGTCAGCCATCCTGTGGCAGTGACCCACATACAGAACAGAGGAAGATTGGCATAGATGTTAGCTCAGGGCTAATCTTCCTCAGCAAAAAAAAAAAAGACGAACACAGCTCCTGTAGTCTCAGCTACATCTGCTTTCCTCCAAGGTGATGGGGGTCTCAGCATCCGTGGAAACTGGGCCTCAGGATAGACATCATCCCCAGAAATGAAAATGACATTGGATAATACTTCAGAAAATTATTCTGTTACATATAATGTACTTAGTCTCCCTGATGGTGTTTTTGTTGGTTCACACCCTTTTGGGGCAGGGCTGATAGTCAAGTCTCTTAGAAAGGGCTTAGAAAGGGCTCCCTCAGTGGTCAGGAGCATTGGGTAAGAATGAGAAGCCTGACATTCTCAAATCCCAATCTTGTTTGTAAGGAGTTCCAAGAAAGGAAACCCCATGCACTTCAGACTTGGAAGGCTGCTGAGGAACATGGTGGGAGTGGGAGGGGAGAGGAGGGAGGAGATGGGAGGGGAGGGAGGAGTGGGGGAGAAACTGGTTGATGCCTCATTTACACGATGATGGGCTATGGCATGGGGTAATTACTACCTTTTTAAGTCTTCTAAGATCTGAGCTGTGAGCCAACTGCTCCCTCCCTATAATTGCCATGAAGGACCTGGTATAGACCAGTGCTTGTTAAGCATAAATGTGCCTACAGATCCCTACAGGATCTTTTTTTTTTTTTTTTTTTGGTGAGGAAGATTGTCCCTGAGCTAACATCTGTGCCAATCTTCCTCTATTTTTTTGTATGTGGGATGCCGCCACAACATGGCTTGATGAGAGGTGTGTAGGTCCGCGCCCGGGATCCAAACCCCTGGGCCGCCAAAGCGGAGCGTGCGAACCCAACTACGCCACCGGGCTGGCCCCCACAGAATCTTTTTTAAATGCAGATTTGGGTTCAGTAGGTCTGGTGGGACCTGAGATCCCCATTTCTAGTGAGCTCCCAGGTTGTTAGATACTGCAAGTCCACAGACTTCACTTAGAGTAACAAGAATCTAGACCTGGGATTCTGGTTCACTCAGCAGTACCCCAAGAGTTAATTGAACCAGCATTTCCTGGGTGATAGTTCCACAGCTACCTTGTAGAGGAGGAACAAGTATTTGGTGGTGGTTTTATTTCTGGGTGAGCGGCCTCTACTGAGCTAAGAAAAAGTTGCTTTCCTGACTGTAGGGAGTAAAACCTCAAGTTCCAGTTGTTTAGGTGTAGAAACAGGTCCAACATTTTTCTAACTCTAAGCAATCCAGCGCTCTATTGTTGCATAACAAATTACTCCCTCAGTTAGTGACTTACAAGGGCCACTTTATTTTGCTTATGATTTTATGGGGCAGGATTTCAGCAAGGGCTTGGCTGGGTGGTTCTTGCTTGGGGTCTCTCAAACGATTGCAGTCAGATGGTAGCTGGGGCTGCAGTGATCTGAAGGCCCAGCTGGGCTGGAGGTCCCAGATGGTGCACTTACATGGCTGGCAGTGGATGCTGGCTGTCAACAGGGAGCTCAGTTGGGGTTCACACTGGGGCACCTACATGTGGCCTCTCCATGTTCATAGGCTTCTCGCAGCATGGTGGCTGGGCTTCAAGAGTGTGCATCCTAAGAGGAGGCATCCAGAGAGCTAGCAATCTCAACGGAAGCCACAAGGCTTCCTCTGACCTAGCCTTGGAAGTCACCCAGCCTCACTTATACGACATTCTATTTGCTACAAGCAAGTCACTAAGACCAGCCCAGATTCCAGGGCTTGGGAATTGCACCCATCTTTAATCCACCACAATTCCCATCTCCAAATTGAATAGTCAGGTGGCATTTTACTTGCCCTGGGAGTACAGGCATAAGACTATGTGTGACCTTTCATATGCACAGGGACCCTTTCTTGTGGTCCATTGATCTGCTCTGCTGATTCCTCACCAAGGGGGAGCCATAGTAGAGATCTGATTGGGGCTCAGGTAGAAAAGGCCAGAGTATTCATTGTGGGAGAAAGATGCTTGGAAAGGACCTAAGCATCCACATTTGGCTTTTATACTCTAATCAAGGTTTAGTTTGAAAGTCAAAAATGACTTTAAATGAAGCCAGAGATATGAAGGGCATGAATTAAACTTTACAGCACTCTGCTCTGCTTGTCAGAACTAGATGTCAAAATCCTCCAGCAAGGCTGGATGAAAAGATGGAGCTTAAATGAAGTAGACTGTAAGGTCCACATTACTCATCATCATTCTAATATTGCCTACTACTGTTGAAAGTTCTCTTCATTAACATGTGCTTTGCTGCTGCTTAAAATAGCTCCATAACCAAACGCCGCAATTCTGAAAAGCATAATAAAAAAGGTTCTCTGATCATGCTCGTTACTGAATATTTTTAGCAGAGCAATAATTAGGATTTGGAGGAAGCCGAGTGCCTCATTATGTCAGCAGAGGGCTTGGCTTCTTTCGGAGACCTACTTCCCAACCAGCCAAAGCAAATCTCTCCTCAACCTGAACTTTCAGTTACTCAGCCACAGAGACGTCACCCTGTGGCTTCAAAGAACAGGTGAGCTCATGTCACCCGTGTTGAAGTGACTTTCTAAAATCCGTTAGTAGCTAGGGAATCTTCTTAACATTTTAGCAGGCAGAGGTGTGGGTGAAATATCTGCCTGCTCAACGATGGAACATACTCCTCACCAGAAAGTTCCCTGCTGCTTCCACCAAGGAGAGGATGTTGTCTCAGGCCCCCCGCCTTGGGACCACTCAGGGTTCCGCGCCCACCAGAGCCCCCTGCACAGCTGGGTTGGTTGAGTGCTATTTACATCCGTGCCTTTAGATATTTGTATCCTCCACCTTCTATTGGTTTTCTATGTTTGAGTCCACCTTCTTAGAAGGTGATAAAAGAAGTTTTTGGCCTAGCGGCAAACCCCAACTCTGTCCTCTGGGCCACAGAATATTAGAAACTGGATGCTTTGTCTCTAACCTCAGCAGCGCCCCCTGCTGCCGACACTGTGAATGTGCAGATGATACGAAAGAAAGCTCCAAAGGGACACCCTAGTAGGGGCCAGGCTGAAAACTTCACCAGTGTCGATAGAATCAGAGATGACTGGGTTTGGAATAGCACTTAGAGATAAATATTCATCGAGTCATTCATTCAACAAATATTCCTATAGTGCTTGCTTGTCACCCTTGCTGAGAATATAGAAGAGAATAAAACAGGAGCAGTTCCTTCCCTCATGTAGCTTATAGTCAAGGGGGAAAGGCAGTTATTAAACAAGTTGTTTTATAAAGATCTTGGAATATTTGAAGGAAAAGAGCAGTGGACCATAGGAGGGAATAAAAATCAGGAAGACCAGGTCTCAGGGTTGAGAGATTTCCTTGAGAATGTGATACTAAAGTTGAAACCCAATGGATGACCAAGAGTTAACAAGGTAGAGAGTATGTTGTGGCAGAGTGAGGAGGGGGGGCCAGCCCTTTCAGGACACTGAAGTCCAGTGTGGCTGGGCCAAGGCAGGGTCAATCTGTTGCCCAGCTCCATAGAATACAATAACAGTGCCTCCTGAAGCTGTGTAGCACAGGGGCCTTGTCTTAGGGAGTGAAGGGAGGCAGGGAAAGGGAAAGAAGCACAGGGAAGAGATAATGCAAGCTGCTGCAGAGCCAAGGTAAGGATTTGAATCTAAACACAGAGGACAGTAGAAAGCCAGTGAAGGATGTTGAGCAGGCATCTGACTTGCATTTTGAAAGACTGCTCTATGGATCTTGCTATGTGGAGAGTGGATTGAGGGCATAAAAAACGATATTGCTGGAGACTGGTTTTGAGGCTCTTGCTGTAATCTTTGAACAAGATGGTGGTAGACTGGTTTAGATGGAGGATGGAGAAAAGTAGGTGAGTTGGGGAGACATTTAGGAAGTAGATTGGTGATTGGAAGAAAATTGATTGGACGTAGGGAATGAGGGAGAGGGAAGTGGCATGGATGAGCCCAAGGTCATCTTGTCCAGCCACCTCATTTCTCAGCTTTGGAGACTGAGGTTAAGTAATTTGCCTTCTGAGGCTTGAGTAACCTGCCCAAGTCTACAAACCAAAAACCCAGCACCTTTGTCCCCAGGCTCTGTCCATCATGCCCTCCCATGCCTGATGTCTCTAAGTGGCCATAATCATATTGGGTAGAAAGATCCCAATTGTCAACATGCCATTTCAGTTGACAACAGAAGTGTAAGCATAAACCAGATTCTTGTCTGTGATAACATTTGTGACCTCTTTATAGCCCTGGATTGGTACACCCAAATATATCTCTGAAGACTTTAAGGAAGTTCTGTTACCACTTGGCATCCTCTGTGCTTGTTTATTTTTTCCTCAGTCCCACTTGTTCTAGTTAAAAGGATCTTTGAGTGGTGAAACCACTATCCAGAGTAGACTGTTCTTAGGAAGATAAAATCATCTGGCACCCCACGGGCATGTCTTTAGATCAGAGACAACAAAAATAGTACACTTCTTCTTTTCCTTTGGTATAACGTGACGCAGACTTCCTTGGGGAAGAAGGGAAGTTACCATAATCTGACTAATTCATTGACTCAGTTGTTAGTCTCCATTCACTTAACTCATTTAGTTTGCAATTATTGAGCACCTTCCATGTGCTAGACACAGGGGCACTGAGCTAGGTGCTGGGGATGCAAAGATAAGGCATAATCTGTGCTTTCAGAATGTTCCCTTTCTATAAGGAGACAGATATTTAAAATACTTTTGTTAATGGAAGACAAGTTTATGTCCTAAATGTTATATGGGTTCTGCCTGGTGATGTTAGGAAAGACTTCTCAGAGGCATAACCTTGAAGCTGGACCCTGCAGAATGAGGAAGAACTCTGTAGCTGGTGTGGGCCAGGAAGGGGGATCCAGGGCAGAAAAGGAGAGCTCGGCATGAGCAAATGCCAGGAGCCGGGTGAGTGAGTGCATGGTACGTCCAGGAACCAGATCCAGGATGACAAACACACAGCGTTCATTGCAGGGAGGAAGTGTACAGAACTGAGCGTGGAAGAGTCTGCTGGGGCCAGATGTGAAAGCCTCACTGACACCCCCAGGAGCTGCAACTTTGTCCTGGAAAGGAGGGCCATTGAAGAAAATGGGTCAGCCGAGGCCATCTTCGTTTTTTCTCTTTATCTCCTCTTTCCTATTTGAACAGGGATGTTTGTTCCAACGCAGAGAACGGAAGGCATCTCAACATCAGACATCATCACCAGAATTGTTCGTGACTATGATGTTTATGCCCGACGCAACCTCCAGAGAGGGTACACAGCCAAGGAACTGAATGTCAGCTTTATAAATGTAAGTGTGCCGCCCCGTGCCCCCTGAGGACCACTGCCTCACACCGCTACTGCCGCCACTGCCACTGTTGATTGAATGCTTACTACATGCCATGCGGTATTCTCGATGCTTTACATTTATTCTCATTCAATCCACATAACACCACAATGATGTATGATTATCTCCATTTTACAGATAGAGAAACCAATGTCCAAAGGGGTAACCTAAGTTAACCAAGGCACACAGGTAGTGAGCTTCGCATTTTATAAAGGAGTTGCCTTGCTTCCCTTCCTTTGCCCCAACCTCCCTCTGTAGAGCTCTCAGACTTGAGTGAAGGCTTTCTGGGAGATCTGCTTTCATGAAAGGCAAGAGTTGTCTTCTGTTCAAAGGGAAGGAAGGAGGGCAGAGGCCATGAAAGCTATACCCAGAGAAAATGCTTTCTTGTTTTAACGTTTTTAAATGTTCATTTTATTAAGGCCTTACAGATGCTCATTAGAAACCTTAACAGCCATTTTTTATTGTGCAGAGAAATTACAGCTGCTTAAATAAAGCCTAAAGTCTTTAGCTTCCTTTTGTATTTCTGCTGTATTGTTCCCACAGAACTGCTGTTAGTTTAATAATAGAGCAACTGTTAAAACAATCTTTAAAACAAGCAAAACAAGCTGTTAAAAAGCAAAGAGGGCAGCTCAGTTGCTGGGGGTGATGTTAGTGAGTCTGGACAACTGTATTTGCCTGGACTCTGAGGAGCTGAGATAGTTGATTGGAACAAGACCTCTCCATACATACAGAATTTCAACCCCTAAAAACAGATACTGTGTTTTCAAAGGGTGATTTTTCTACAAAACTAGATGCTTATAATTATGTGCAGCCATAATTATCCAGCAGCTTACACAGATCGACCATTGGTACCTTCAGAATGAGGAGGGGTTCATTATTGTAAGTCAGTGATTATTAGTTGTCCTCACGAGGCGGGGAGTGTTGGGAGGCCAGGCTCTGTGGCTGGGAAACAAAACGGAAAATGTCGGGTTCAAGTGGCACCAGAAGAAGTGGCTGAAAAGAATTCAGTCAAAGTGATTATTTGGTATCTTACAGAGAATAAAGCCCTGGTTATTTCAATAAATTAAACTGTCTGTTCTTTTAAATTGAATTCAGTCACCCATCCAAGCATGTCAAGCCATTTCCAAAAGTTATTGCTCAGTCTCTTTAAATGGCCTTTAGATAAGCCACTTAACTCAAGGAACCATGTAGTCAGTGTGGATGCGCTCGTTGTCTTTCTGTGATAACAAACCTGGCCGCAGCTCAGAGATGAAATCAAATGTGTTGGATGGGCATGTAGATGAATCACAGAACCTCAGAGGTGGCAGGAACCTGATGGGGGTCAGTCACCCAGTCCAAGTCCCTCCATTTAGAAATGAGGAAAGCTGAGCTCAGAGAGGGGACCTGGCCAAGGTCCCTCAAGCAAAGTAGAGGTGGAGGCAACAGCAGCCTCCCGGCCTCATGACTCCCAGTCTAGTGCTCATTTGACTACTCCATGCTGCCCCTGAGAGCTGTGTATAATAACCGTGTATTATACATAGCCTAAGGGCAGCACGTCTAGCTCACAGCCCACCCTGCGGCTGTAGTAAGGTTTGGAAGGTCTAAATCAGGGAATCCTGACCCAGTTTTGCAATATTCCAGGTGTCTCAAAAACTTCTGAAATATGAAATAAACTTCAGTCCCCTATAGTGAAGAAAATGGTCAATCTTATTACCCCTTTAGGTAATAAATCTTAATACCCCTTCAGACAAAATATATCATGATTTCATGGAGGGGAAGACCCTTTGTCTCATGTTATTTTCATGATTTTGATACCACTCTCATCAAGTAACACAATTAAATGCCTATGCCGCTTAGTAATGAAACAGCCAGTGCACAGTGAGCTTTTACTAAATGCCAGGCGTTGTGCCAAGCACTTTACATGTATTATCTTATCTAATTGTTACAGCAACCCTATAGGGTAGGGATGATAATATCCCCATTTTACAGATGAGGAAACTGAGGTTTAGAGGTGATATGTGACTTGCCCAACATACGATGCCTTCCAGGCACATAGGTATAGCATTGCTGCATAAGGTCTATAAGAACACAATCCTAGTCCAGAGAAGTGATCAGAACAAAAGCTTTCTTCATCACCAAGGAAATTGATGCAGTTCAATTAACTTAATGGAAAATATCATTACAATGAAAATTTTAGTATAGCACATGAGTTCTAAGGCCCAGCCAATGGCCCACTTATTTCAACCAATATTGGGTTTAACAATGTCCCAGCATTTTTACAATGTTATAAACCAATGTTACTGCAATAAACAAAAAATTTATAAAAAACAAAAAAACAATGTCCCAGTAAAACAGAGAACTCAGACAGCCTCTGAGTGGCCATTCTATATACAATTCATACTTTTGTTTAAGTCCCAGCAGAATCAAAGGGGTATATTTGCCCAATATCTACTGTAATAAAGAGCAACTATATATTTTCAGTTCTTCTCTTATATAAGTGAATTCAACTCAGATGTTTACAAAGAAAGAGAATATTAAAACCACTTGTACTTCACTTTACATATCCAAGTAGACTAATGACAAATGACTTTTCTTACAAGAGATGTGCCTTCTCGTCAATCCAGCCCTTGGGAAATAGCAACATCTGACTCTTCAGGTCAAGAACAAACGCAAGTTGAAAAAAATATGACTGTTAGTGTGAATGATTGATCTCTCTCATGCCCTCTTGGATAAATCCATTTCTTTCTCCTTTACTTTTTGACCAGGAGAAGAAGTACCGCTTCCAAAACCAGGTAGACAAGATGAAGGAAAAGGTCAAGAATGTGGAGGAAAGATCAAAGGAATTTGTTAACAGAGTAGAAGAAAAGAGTCATGATCTCATTCAAAAGTGGGAAGAGAAGTCAAGGGAATTCATTGGCAACTTCCTAGAACTATTTGGGCCTGATGGAGCATGGGTATGTAATTATTTCATTTGGCCCCGCAATGACGGATGTTTTCAGTTTATCCTTCTTTTCATGGAACCACTCAAGGGTGTCCCTTATCTCAGTCCAATATGCGGCCTCCACTTTGGGCATTAGCCCAAGTGACTTCAAGTCTATGTTGCTTTCTTATTCAGTTTCTGCTTTATCCCTCAATATGGCACCCAGTAGCACCCAAAGCCAGCTCTGGTCTCTGTTTCTATTTCTTGTCCAGCGCTTGAAGCCATTTGGTAATTGTTGAATGTCTGTTACTGCTGAGGTTTGTTCTATAGCTGATCCCAGTCTCCCAGTTGGAGATGCAAAACTTGGGGGTAGGGGTGAGGTGGTCAGTGGCATCATGGAACTTGTGTTGTAAGACAAGGCTAACGGTCTCTTGGATCAACCAGGTCAGGAGGATGCAAAAGATATGTGGCTGCCTTGGTCAGCTTTTGTTGTCAGAAACCCTCCTCTCTCATTGGTTGGAAGAGAGAGAGAGAAGAGGTAGGATCCTGCCCTGAATCTGCCCACCATGCCCTGATTTTCCCCTGTTTTTCCATGGCATGTATGTGTTGGGATAAGGTACAAAAGTCTTAGGGGACTGAGGCCATGATTTGAATCTTAAAGCTGAGAGAAAATGTAGAGAGTCTCTTGCTTAAATTTCACAGACAATTCTGAGTGAAAACTATGGAAAGGGAAAAGAAAATTCTGGAAACCACCTTGTACTCCACTGGTATTTCTATTGTGCATGCACTTAGATAATAACTGGTAAATAACCAGTATTTTCAGCAGAGTTAATGAGAGTTCTATGAAAGAGATATTTTTAAAGCTAACTTTCCTTTTAAAACAAAAAGAAATGATTCCATGTGATTTCCTGGATTTTAAGTAGCCTAGATTTCCTATTATGACATGAGAAGTCTCTAACAAAATCCACTTTGGCTTAATTATTTTATTGATGGGTTGTCACTGCTGCCTCTCTGCTCTTTTGAGCTGGTTCATTATAGGATTATCTAAAAGTAAAACACTCAATTAGTAATAGAAAAAGAACAACGTTTGAGAAGTTGGAAGAGATGCTTTACTTAAAGCCTAGAGGCGTCTAAGTAATTATAGAAGTGGGTGTTGTAGGCCAACCATGCCCTATTGGCTGAGTCTGTGGTGGGGGGAGGGTTTGCAAGGGGCTGCTCGAGCCCTCGATGACTACTAGAAAGAGCTAGCAAGAGCAGAGGAGCCAAAGGCTGGCTTCTTTTTCATATTCCCTGGGCCTGTTAAAATTTTCAGCTCAGATCAATTTAATTCATGGGACATTTGTTAATGTCCTTGTACACGCACAGCACTAAGGAAGAACATGAAGATAAAGTATAGACCCTGTTCTCTGAGATTCCGTGGTCTCTATAACCAAGTCTGAAATTTCCCATTAATCCAGCATGTACTTTAATAGTTCACATTTTCACAAGTAATTTTCTGGCTCTGAAGAAACAGCTAGTGGCTTTTTAATGGAATCATGTAGGTATTCATTTGCTTACAGGGATTCAGACATATGTCTCTGCTGAGAAGCCCTGGTACTGTATGCAACTCAAGGGGGTGGATGTTTCCTCCACCCGGAGCGAGCAAAGCAGGGAAGGAATATAATTTCATAGAAAAGTTGTAGACCCTAGTAGTTTTGGGCTCCCAGTGAAATAGTAGCTGAAGTTGTTCTAGGGGGAGCCAGGTGACAGCAAGCTAAGGTGATTTTTAAGAAACGAAACCTAGCTTAGAGACTAGAGGTTTTTCTTTGTAAAACTTGCTATTAGTGTCAAAACTGTTATTAACATTAATTTACCATATCAGCCAGACTTAGACATTACTTTTTTTTCTGTTGACATTAAAAGTACAGGAATAGTTACAAGGATGTTAAACGCCAAGATAAGTAATTTGCTTTTCATGAATATGCTATTATTATAATAATTCTTTATTTGTGGATTTGGGACTGGAACTCATTTCTTAAAATAGAGGATCTGCATTACCTGCAAATACAGTACTGATACAGATAACCCAAACTTGGAAAGGCACAAAATAGAGGAATTTAAGGTACAAAAATTGGTAAGAGAGGATTGGTATGCAGCATAGTATGTAACTTATAGGGGGTACTCCATAAATGTTTCTGGATTGAATAAATGTATGAATGGATGGATGTGTGATAAAGACCTATTCACAGAACCTTCCAACAACTGCAAAGGATATGGTGAGGCCTAAATTCTCTATATCTATGGTGATCTATATTGATATATATCTATATTGTTGATATCTATATTGTTGATATCTATATTGATAGATCACTATAGATATTGATATAGATAGATCACTATAGATGTATACCCTTAGCCTTTTATTGCTTATGGTGCTGAATACAAGGCTTGGTTACAATTTAGTGCTTGTTGGATCAAATGCAGTATGCAACCTTACTTTGCTTGGCCCTCAACAATGTTTTAAAATTTCTTTTAGGGAGGGCATGAACTCTCTAGTTTGCTGCGTCCACACCATTCCCCACTGTTCCTAACCTGTCACCTCCTCTAACCTGACACACACATTTACACTGCCCACCTGGCCCCAAGGAATATTTGCATTTGCTCCTCGTGGTATAGAGTATTTCAGTCTCCCCAAGTGACCTTATGTTTGATATTGAGAACTACAAAATCCAAACCCTTATACTCCATCCCTGAGTAGAAAGTGCTGGTGGTAATGCTCATGATGTTGTTATTGTTGTCTAGAAGTTGTATAGCAGGTTAAACTCTTTTTCCAAAGTCCTTTTGTATCTACCCTACCCATTTTAACCACACAAGAAGGTAGTATTATAAAGAAACAAGTGCCTAGAAAAATTATGAAACTTTCCTATGGTCTCACTGGACTTTGGAGGTACTGGGATGGACATGGACCCTGGGGCCAAGCCTCTTCTCCCAGCCATCACTGCATCCTTCATGATGGGAATGTCCACAGGATGCAGTCACTTTGCTTCACTCTCCTTTGGTCAGGGTGTAGCATTGTGGAGAAACTGAGGTCTACCAAAACCCCTCTAAGGCTTTGTGACAAAGCTAGTTGCCAAAATGGCACTTTAAGCCAGGTCATCTAGATTCAGGAGAGGTACTGTCGGCCTTCTTCCTAAGCAAGCAGAAATCATGGTGTCCATGGCTATATTATCTATTGATGTGTAACAAGTTACTCCAAAACTTAGTGACTTAAAAACAACATTTATTATCTCACACAGTTTCTCAAGGTCAGGAATCAGGAAGCAGCTCAGCTGGATGGTTATGACTCGGGGTCTCTCATGAAGTTGCAGTCAAGATGTCAGCTGGAGGATCCTCTCCCACATTCACTCACGTGACTCTTGACTGGATACCTCAGTTCCTCACCATGTGGGCCTTTCCACAAGGCTGTCCAAGTGTCCTCATGACGTGGCAGCTGGCTTCCCCCAGAGTGAGTGATAGAGAAAGGATGATAAGCCAAAAACTATAGTCTTTTATGACCTAATATCAGAAGTGACAAACCATCACTTCTGCCATATTCTATTAGTCACCCAGCCTAATCCTGGTATATTTTGGGAGGATACGACACAACGATGTGAATACCAGGAGTTGGGGCAATCTTGGCAGCTGGCTACCACAATTGCTTTTGAGAATTTGAAGCAAGCAATCTACTTCTCCATCATTATAATAGATTATCTCTTCCCATTTATTCAGTCTGATTGGTGGATTATCAGAGCCCAAGATGTTATTTTTCAATCTCATTATCTACCACTCTACTTATTTAAATACTTGCTTAATTCTTGTAACTAGTCTTGACTCATACTCAGAAGATAGCCTGTAACACCAACAGAGACTTGACATTACCTCTCTTTGGAGGGTGTGTCTCTGAAAGACAGATTGTCTCAAGGGAGGGGCTTTAAAGGAGCTAAATTTTGAAGCTTTGTTGCCATGTTGGAGGTGACGCTGTTCATTTCCAAGGTATTGAGGGTCAAGGAGCCAGGATTGGGGGATGCTGAATCAGCTTTCAGGGTTTGCTTTTGGAGTAAGGTCTTCCTAGTGAAACTTTATTATTTTTGTTCGAAGGGCCTGAATTCCCAGGGCAGACACAATGTTTTTAAAGAACAGCGTATGTGGGATTGGGGTACTAATGTTTAAATAGAATGCATTGTTTTGAATGATCTGCCACTATATTCCTTCACTGACTCTGAAAACAGGGAATCATTCCCTGTTTGAAATGAAAGTGGGTCTATTTTATTTTACCATGTGAACATAGACCCTTTCCTGGAGCACCAGGAGAGAATGACCTTACGTCAGGTGCAAGTTTTTAGTTCATCCTGGACCACAAACACCCTCTGCCCCAATCCGAATAGGCATTTGCCATCTGATATGAGATTACCTTTTTTTTTTGAAAAAACCTTTATGGGGGCAACCTGGTGGTGCAAGTGGTTAAGTGCGCGCGCTCCACTTCAGTGGCCCAGGGTTCGCAGGTTCGGATCCTGGGCGCGCATCAACACACTGCTTGTCAAGCCATGCCGTGGTGGCGTCCCATATAAAGTAGAGGAAGATGGGCACAGATGTTAGCTCAGGGCCGGTCTTCCTCAGCAAAAAGAGGAGGATTGGCATCAGATGTTAGCTCAGGGCTGATCTTCCTCACAAAAATAAAAAGATAAAAAAACCTTTATGATGTGTTCGTTTTTTAGAAAGAACAGATTTATATGATGTGAGGTCCACTGCTAATTTTTTCAAATGGTGGTAAAATATCATAACATAAAAATGGTTAAAATGGTAAATTTTAAGTGTGTAGTTCAGTGGCATTAAATACATTCACATTGTTGTGCAACCATCCATTTCCAGAACTTTTTCATCATCCCATATTGAAACTCTGTACCCGTTAAATAATAACTTTGCATTTCTCCCCCTCCCACCGGTCCCCATGGTGTCTACTTTCTGTCTCTATGAATTGACTACTAAGGTACCTCATATAAGTAGAATCATACAGTA